CTGGCCAAGCACGCAGTATCTGAGGGCACCAAGGCTGTCACAAAGTACACCAGCTCCAAGTAGAGTCAACCGCCGTACCAGTAAACCAACCGGCCCTTTTCAGGGCCACCATTTCTTCCCAGAAATGATTACTACATCTGTAAACCTGCTTCCATCATCAATGGTATTACGATAAAAAAACGATGATCCAACCACAGTGCTGCCACTCAGGATATTATAAAAAAAAGTATTAAATCTGTCCAGAAAAAAGCATCAAAATTGTCTAACAAAAGTATTAAAAAAGCATAAAACTTGTATCAAACTACCATGATTTGTAGTCACTTGTTACCTTTCACCTTGTTACCGAATACATTATAGCCTGTGCAGCATACAAACAAGCTTCGGGAATGATGTGTGCAATGCCATGTGGAGTTGATACTCAGTTTGGAATATTTCAATGCAGTGTTTCCCCTGGCCAAAAAGATCTGTGAGGTGGTGAACGTTTTTTGTGATGTGTTTGCGCGTTTCGAGGTCGTAGCAACCGAGCAGCGCCGGTGCTGGCGAAGCTAAGGGGGTACGGGGGCATGCTCCCTCGGGAAATTTTTGAAAAAAATGGTGCAATTTGGTGCATTCTAAGCTATTCTGAACACATTGTATCAGACTCTTGAATCTCTTTTTAATTAAAGTTACGTCAGCGAGGCGGTGTTTTGGACAAATTTCTGTGTGGCGGCTGAGAATTTGAGTGAGGAAGCCCGCATCGATTGTGTCAATACAGGGTAACACTGCAATGCGCATTGCTCATTTGACATTTGGTCACTGATGGCAGAGAGCTGAGAGCAAAAATACTCCACTGAACAGAGCACACATCACTCCTGCAACAAGACTAGCAAAGCACATCTTTAATCTCATCAAATACAGTGTACCTAAACGTATGTCCGAAGAGTTTTGACCATCTTTGACAAAAATAGTATTTAAAAGTATTTATGCATGAAAAAAATATGAAAAAAGTATATTTTCTTAAAAAAGTACAATACTTAAAAAAAAGTATAAATTGGCAGCACTGAACCAGTGGCTGCATCTATTATTGCGCTACGGTTGCTACTTCTGAGATTACCTTAATCCATTAAACTTGTTTTTTATAATCAAAAGGTTCTCGTCATTCACACCGAGCAAGAATTTGGCATTTCGTATATCTCTCACTGCACTTATTCCCTATGTCCTCCTTCTCTCTGACGAATGTATCACTACGCTATTAAGATCATGACGGACGGACGGCCGGACGGACGGACATTCATGCGATTCTACAAGCTGATCCTGACTTCGTCAGCTGAGCTAATAAAAACGAGTCATCCTTTTACATCTACATTACCGCACACGGTCCCTATGCTATTGTATTATTGACACATGTTTGTGCTTAACTATTTCAGAACAGGGGGAAACTAAATTAAGCTAATTCCAGACAAGTCACTGCCTACATTATAGATGCGATTATAGTGGCACTATGAAGTCAAATGTACGTTGTACTAATATACGGTTAGCGACAAGGGTCACACGGTAACCGTCCGACAGACCGTGTATTCTGTTATCACGCTGAAATGTATGGGGGCGTCGTATTAGATTGAGATGGCGGGAAAACGGCTTCTTGCATCCACAAGCACTTGGCCCGTTTCAATAATAAAATGATAGCAAATAAACATGAAATGTATTTACTGCCGATGTCTCACTGTTTATCTTCTCTCTATTACCTTTTATTAGCAATAATTTCCCCTAAATGCAGCTATTACGCTTCACTGCAACACGCAATACACGATCTCACCGCACGAACGCCACTGTGCACAAATTCACAGAAAAGCAATACGAAGTCTTGTGCTTCCTGCCTGTTAGAGGATATGCTTGTGCACGACAGAAAAATCTCTCTATAACAAACAAACCACGAAAAATATTGTCAATCATTTCATTTTTCTATTGTATCTATTTTTAAAATTTTACACTATTTTAAAATGTTCACACAATAAACGAGTTTCAGAGCACATCATTTCTGGCTTGGTCATACAACTGTGTGTGCATCATGTATATCAAGGCTATAAATAGAACAGGAGTAAATACATAGCTTGCCACACCTTGGTACGATTTGCATAACTCTTGAAACGAATTACAGGCCATGTGTTTTTTCCTTTTACTTAAATTCATGTACTATACACATTAGAAGATGCAGGATGCAAGTCTAACAACTGCTATTACTATATATTACAAGCAGTAGACTAATTCAAATATTCGTTTCAACACACGAACAAATAGGTTATGGCAATACATACTATTATCACCCTGGTCTAAATATACTCATTCTAACTTGATTTAAACCAGAATATACGTTGAAACATCTCGTGCACGAATTCAGTGCAGGCAAAACCAAGTATCAATCCAACGACAGAACGAATACCCAGCCCAATAGTTAGCATATATCGTGTATATAGACGATGTATTGGTCACCCACTATTAACGTATGTGCCATCAGCCTACCCACCGTACATGGCTCACCGCAGCACACAAGCCCGGTGTTCCACTGCTGGACGGACAAATACTCTGCGACACGAATGCAGCAGCTAAAGCCTAGCGCGGACCTGCGACTTTTTCATGCAACTCGACAATTTTTGTAAAAATTGCTCTGAAATCGCTACGTCTGCGGGAACGTGCAACTGCAACCCGTAGCGATTGCAAGAAATCGCATTTTTTGAATTTGAGTGACCCGTCGCCCTCAATCGCTCCGAAATTGCTCTAGAATTGCTTCGAAATCACATGTGTGCACAAACGCGGTGGCACATCGACCGATCGCTTGCGGTTGCAGGTTGCATGCAGCGACGAGCAACCAAAAATCGCAGGTCTGCGCTAGGCTTAACGCAGCTACAAATTTGCACTTGTCGTTTGCAAGTATAGAACAATTCCCGAGTCAAAGCACCTTGTGCTGCGTATTTCAACATTTGAAAAGATTATCGCTCTGGCAACGTAACTTTAACTCGGAATTATTCAACGGCAGCAAACGACAGTCGTACAAACAAAAGCAAGTAGAGTACAATGCGGTGCTCTGTTTAAATATACAACATGTGCTGCACGCTGGACAACATCACATCTGTACCGTGATGAAGTAAATACAAAAGTAAATGATGAAGTAATATGTCTGCCGTATGGAAACAAAAGCACACATGACGTGCACACCGAGTACTGAAATGAAATGTATCGCTGTTACAATGACCAGTTGACTGTGAGTAACAGCTGCCATTTGCTAACTTTTTATTCAAACACTGTCCTGATTATGAGGTTACTTCTAAGATATTTTTTTATCTCATTCAGTGCTATATAGATATTCAATGAAAAAAACTGGCTGATATATTTAAAATAATGTATACAATAGGCGTCAGCCTTCTATGCATGTTTACAGTCACTCACTCGCACTGGCTCGTTTTGCCATTTCATATTTCAACTCTGAGTAGCAAACGGGTCACTTCCACGTAATAACTTATGGATCCACACGGTCATCTTTAAATATATCTGTGGAGTTTCGGTCATCAATGTACAAGCCGTATCGTCACGGCTCTGGTGTGATGCGTGCCACGCTGCAGCAGGCGTTAGCCACTGTTAGTGCTGCAGCCTCACCAGTTGTTTCCCACGCTTGCAACACTTGAGCCTATTGCTCCCCCGACAAATATAGTTGGCATCTGTGTCATGCTAACCCGTTTTTGTAATTACATAGTATTGCGGCAATAGTCACACATTTTCTCTTCGATCAACTCAATGCGCTGAATGATCAGAGAACGGCAGCAGGGGTCGAATGCTGCACAAGGCTCTGTCCTGCAGCCAACATTTGAGTTCATCATGCTCCGATGTCACCACACCTCGATGTCACCAAGCTTGATGGCACTGTGCTTTGATGTCACTGTGATCTTGATACCGCGATCTGATGTCGCAGTACTCCGATGGAACCATCCTTCAATGATTCCACGATCTGATGTCAGACTCACCACACTTTGATGTCACCATGCTTTGATGCACAATGCTCCGATGTCACCATGCTTTGACGCACAATGCTCCGATGTCACGATGCTCTGATGTCACCACGCTTTGATGTCACCAAGCTTTGATGCACAATGCTCCGATGTCACCATGCTTTGATGCACAATACTCTGATGTCACCAAGCTTTGATGTCACCATGCTTTGATGCACAATGCTCCGATGTCACCAGGGTGCGACACCGCGACGCTCCAAGCTACACCAGCAACGAGGTTACCACGTCACACAGTAATCACTTCCCCCCGGATGCCAACGTACGATTCACACGGCACGTCATGTCATGCAGTGTGGCAGCGAGCGGGTGCCTGCTCTGATATGTCATTTTCAGAATCTAGTTAATAGTCTGCCGACATCACCACAGGCACATGTGTGTACCACAACCACCTATCATTGTCTAGACTCAGCACACTCGAAAAAAACCGCAAGTAGGCACTGCAACACTTATCAACGCACGGTAATAACATCAAGTGAACGCGCTAGCACCTGACCTCCCGCTAGAAATGACTGCTATTCAGCGCAGACCGTGTGCATCTCTAGTGTATTCATCTTTCAACCTATGAAACAGCGCTATGTACAATAAAACAAGACTGCCACCACCCTCACGATTATACGGCAGAGTGTAGCCGCCACACCTGATCGGTACACACCTAGCAACCAATTCTACTCGACTACAAAGTTCGTGTATGTTCTGACTGCGCTGTGAACATACGCGTACTCGTTAACTTTCCCCGTACTGCTGCAACCTGAACTCATCCTCCCTCCTGCAGGAAGTTTTGCGTGAACCGTGTACATTTAGCTAATTGAAGCTTGTGTTCGCACCACAGCGAACCGCAACTACACCGACACACTGGTACTGATGACAGCGATACCGATAGAGCTGCCATACTTCCTGACCATCCTGATGACCTCACACGACATCAAGACCTTACATGAGGTCACAGTGACGATAGTAGAGTTGGTGGGGGTGTCGAAATTAGGCGTGACCTTCCCAGACCTCGTGACCTTCCCGAGGTCACGGCGACCGTAGTGGAGCCGTTGGGAGTGTCGTACTTAGGCGTGACCTTTGACGACCCCGTGACCTCACATGAGGTCGCAGCGACGGTAGTAGAGCAGGTAGGGCTGGCGCGGGTTGACGTACTTCAGCACCTGCATGGCGGCGATCGGCCGTATGGCGTCGTCGTCGCAGCGGATCCAGCCGCCGATGCCCGTGTGGTAGACGTCGGCCGTGTAGTGGCCGCCCGTCGCGTTCTTGCCGTGGTGGCACAGCACTGTAACGACACACACACATACATTAACACTCACGAAGGCTTGTCACAGCTCAGCACAGCTCAGCACAGCGGACAAACGCACGCACGCACGCACAACCTCCGGACTCGCGTTAATTTTGCACCCTGCATACATACATACACACGCACGCACGCCACACGCACCCCCCCCACCCACACACACGCATACGACATTTACACACACACGGGCGTGAACACACATAAACGCACACGCACACGCATACAATACCGACTCAGGATGAGATTTTTCGCGGATCCGCGGAAATCGCTGGATTTGAGTGTCCCAGGGTGCGATTTTGTGAACGTCAAATTCGTTGAGAAAATTGGGGGGGGGGGTAAGAATGTAAAAATTGAAATTATACCTTCAACAGTACCTGACAGCGAAGTCAACAACGGGTGTTACAGATAGCCAGCGTGTACCGCGCCTGTCGCTAGTGCGTACGATGTACGCGAGTCATGGCTAGGAGCGGTGTCGATTGATGTACGGGCCATTGATCGTTTCATGTCTATGGTGGATAGTCCAGTCAATATATGAAATACCCGGAACAAATTGCGACAGAAGGTTATATAGTTGGAAGTTGTTGATTGACCCTCCTAAAACTTCATGTATGCAAAATCGGCCAAAAATCGACACGGAAACTGGCTAATTAGCATAAATCCAAAATGGCCGCCGTCGTAAGGGCGACCTGAGTTAGCCTTTAGCTCCTGTACTACTAGGACAAACTAGCCTCAAAACTTGAAAATGGTGGCCTTTTGGATTTATGCTAAATAGCCATGATTTCCCGTGTCCGATTTTGGCCGATTTTACATATGAAGTTTAGGAGGGTCCAATCAACAACTTCCAACAATAAAACCCTCTGCTTGCAATTTGTTCCAGGTAGGCCAAAAATTTTCATATATTGACTGGCGTACAAAGTGATGGCCATGTGGAGCATGTTTATGACTGCGTAGGAGTGGCGGCGCCTGGGAGGGGAGAACGAAAGTAAAACAAAACTGTAGGCTCCCTCTTCCTATCGTTTTATCCTTCAGGGTTGATAATTATGAAGTCTGTAATTATAAATTATTATGATTGATTATTATATACTTATAATTATTAAGGTCTTAACGATTGAAATGTCTGTCATTATGAACCGCTGATCCTATCAACGCCATTGTTCAGATCAGGATAGTTACAAAACGGACTGCCTCATTATGCTGCGGACTCCTATTCTATCCCTGTATAGTGTCAGTATTTGACATGGCACTGTGTGATATGTGTTATTGAGAAATGCTGGATGTACAAGAAATACAGAAATCAAGTAAGTCAGGTTTAGGAAATGAAAGTGTCAATGACACTGTAGCTCCCACAAAGGACACAAATGAGCTGAGTGAGAAGAAGTCAGTTTTAATTGAGCAACCATCGACAGTACATTATAGAAACGAAGAGTATATATGGAGAACTCCCATTATATACTCTTGAAATTATATGTGTAATATTTGTATGTGAAAATAAATGTTTGAGATGTGAAAGTCTGAGATGTGGCGAGTGATGGCGTTTACACCTAAATGATCGCCATTTAACGTTTTTATAATATTCAGATTTAGGCACGTGCCTAAAAGCGGAGCTCCGATGTGTAACGTGTAAGATTGAGAGATACGCTTATTCCACGTAGCTGCTATATACCACGTGACAATGGTGTTTCCCTGTCCTAAACACAACTTTTGTTAAAGGTTAAAGGCTCACAATGTGCATCCAAACGCTAATTTCTACAGTACTAGACTAGCAAAATACTTCGTGCATGAATAATCACACTACCTTATGACAAAACTCTAGCTCTCCAATTTCACTGCGCGTTGTCTTATAAAAGGTATTTTGAAAATACTCAATGTTGTTGAAATTCTCCGATGTTGTTGACAGTTTCCCCAATCTCCAAGCAACCGTGCAGCGGTGGCGCGGTACAGCGGTACGGGCGCAGCAAAGATAGAAACATGTGACGTCACCAAACCAAGTCGATGTTATGTTGTTTGAAACAAGTTAGCGTTGGCGCCTGATTACCTGATTTCGCGCACCTCTTTCTTGTTGGGACGCGCAGTCAAATGGGAGGAACTAGAGTTTATTTTGTCATAAGGTAGTGTGATTATAGCATGCCACAAAGTAGTGCTAGTCTAGTACTGGAGAAATTTCAGCGTTTGGATGCGCATTGTGAGGCTTTAATTGGTTGCATGGAAGTGTTTACTTCGTATGAGTTTTTCTAGGCGGTAGCACACGGTTGCCATCTGTATATCGCAATAATAATTTATAAACAAAATGAATCACAATTTGTGACGGTAGATGGCGCTATACCCGCTTCGATGGCGTTCGAATAAATAGGTAATGCGTGCGTTCCCGACATGTTTTGTAAAACTTTACTCTAATATAGACGTTTTATCGGCAGGGGGAGAGGAAATACCAATTTGCATTAAAGATATTGTCAATGAAATCTTGTAAACGAACCAGACGAGGTGTGACACCACAGACTGTTATCTGCGTGTCTAAACATAAGATGCTATATAATTGCCAAAACCTGCTAATTTGCATAATTTTTTTTTTAAATATCAAAACCCTGGCCCTTATTCATTCACATACCAAAAATGAGCAAAATCCGTTGAACCTGAACTGAG